TGCCATTGCATCCATAACATTACCATGTATTTGATCAAAATCAATCCATACACGATAACCACTATTGATAAGTTCATTATAAATTTGTTTACAAATGGTTTCATTTTTATGTGAATAACTAATCATAATGTCAAAAGTTTTTTCATTACTAACTGCTAATGTTGTACGATCTTCATGGCTTATTTTTAAGTTCCATAATATTCCATGTGCACTTTTTCGTATTTGATTATCATATTCTTTCGGTAGATGAGTTAATTTTGTTATAAATGATGTATTTGAATGAAGTTGTTGTTGAATATCATGATTGAATGAGAGTGCCCATAGAATATCATATACTATTGGATATTGATCACACATTTCAATCAAAAGTAATACTTTATTTGTATTAGCTATTTGCTGTTGAAAAGCATCGATTTTAGAAAAATTCATCAAACCTGAAAAAAGAATATTTACTAATGAAATTTTAACATCTATTACTAATCACTTACATTTTAGTAGAAGCAATAATGGTACTTGTTGAAACTTTTTTGATGGACGTTCCCATGCTTGTTCAAATGCATTAAAGAAAAAACTACTGGCACTATCGGATATTTCCAACTCTTTCAAACTTTTATCACATAGAATTTCACCAAGTATTGCATATATAGATAGGCGTATTTTATCACAAGGTGATGTTTTAGCAATGGTTAAAAGTGTATCGGGTAGCGAAGTCTTTGAACGTAGAAACCAAAGAAAATTGCCATTTTGTGCTATATTTAGTATTCGAAATAAAGTTATCTCTAAAAGAATCGTTAGATCATTTGTTCGTTTTATCTCAATAGATTGAGAAATCGGCTTATAGTCAATTATACGAATGAGTGCATCGATATATTCACAGGTTGCTGATTCAGTTGGAAAAACTATTTTGGCTTGTGATTCTTTCTCTCCTCCCCACCAATAACAAGTAGAAAAAAGGGCACTAAGACTTGTAATACAACTCAGTAACTCTGCGTTCCATGATTCTATAGTATAGGTATGAAGAATGATTATTTGTGTGATATCAGCACCAAAATGCTGAATTAATTCTTCAAGAGTATAAGGAAAATCTTGAGTTTTTGTATATAAATATGCACTTATAAGTAATGAACATGTTTTTATATAAAATAACTGTTTAGCAGTAAATATGGACTGTGATAACGGTGATTGATGAAGTTGATTTAAATAGAATTTATACTGACTAGTCATTACATAGTTACGCATCATATAATGATTAATATGAATAATTATAGTGGATATTTCAAATTCAGGATTAATATACATAAAACTGCAGACGTTATCATACCATACACTAACTACGCTAATAAATGGATCATTTTCATCGTTTGTTTTTTCAATTTTTTCAAATATAACA